GCGCTCGAACTTATAATGAAGATGCCTTCTTCGTTGCCGAAATCAATTATTAGTTCGTGCAATTTGTGAGAGTTATGATCAGACAATCCAAAACTAATGCACCGACCTAAACTGATCCAAACGCAGAACATTCGGGGAAACGTCTTCGGCAGACAAATTGTGGGATCCAACATGTATTTTGCATAACTAAAAGGACACGAAAAGGTCAAGGCCTATAGTCTGGAGCTGATCAATTGATATTAAGTAGTCAAAACTTATGAAGTCAAAACCTCAGAACTGGTCAATCAAAACTGTTCAGTGTATACAATAGGCGGAAACTCATGCCCCCCNCCGAAAAAAAATTAAATAAATAAAAGCAGCAAATGGTATTTTACTGTTTACCTCCGAAGAGTTTGGATTTGATGATAACGCAGCAAACTATCAAGAGACATACCAATCATCAGGACCGGATGGTGATCATCCACTGTTGCTCAAGGAATTGGCGGTTAAACTTACCCCAATACTCACCAAACTGTTTAACCTATCAGTGCATTCCAGGTGTCCCGATAATAGAAGAAGGCAATAGTCGTGCCGCTTTACAAGGAAGTGACAAAAGTTGCCACTACTGCCCAGTAAGCCTCTGTTGTTGTCATAACAATAGAATATCAGCCAGCTTCACGTCTTGCGGAGTACTTTCAACGGCACTGACCGATGTTTAAGCAATATGACTTCCACTAACAGGTTCTGTATTATCAATTTGTTGATTGAACGAGAGCGTTTATCAAGAGCTAAACACGAAGGAAACGGCACGGACGTCATTTCTGTCGATTTCATCAAGGTATTTGACAAGGTACCGCATCACAGACTGTTGTCGGAAATAAGAGTGTTGTGAAGCCCAGACTGTATTGGATAGAGCACTTCTTAGATGAAAAGGTACTTTCAATGAGAATTGCACAAACCCAGACATCATAGTGCCCAGACACCAGTGGAATTATCCAAGGATCCGTTTTCAGATTGTTATTATTTCTGGCATTTACCAACGGAGTTTGAAAACCCTAGCCTTATGTACATTCCGGTCGGATACAGAGCAGATTCCTCAGGAGGACCTACACACCCCAGTTGACATGTTAAACTTAAGGGTTGTTGGTGAAAACCAACATCGCCCATTTGTAAATCCGTAGATTAGGCAATACAATCAACTATCCCCTTGGGAGTGTCATGCCTCAATTATCCTAGGAAAGCGATGTATGATTTGTTTTCACAAAAATTTGAGCGCAGCCAGGGAAGGTCTGTGCATTCGCGTGAGGCACATTGATAGCTGTTCGTTTTTCGTTCGGTCCACTATCGCTGAGTGTAATAAGGTTGTTTTTTGCCTACCATTTATATCCCCCCCCCCCCCGATTGGATTATTGTGGTCCAGGGGATTCTGAGATAGATCACTGCAGAATTCTCAGGGTTGTAACTCACCCACTTGTGGGATCAACTATGAAGACCTCCGGACTGTTAGGAGTTGTTTCCGATGGCACATGGACGCGTCAGAGGTGACCTAATCTATACCGGACGTGTTATACGAGAAGACTTTGGCTCGTAGCTGCCATTCGAATTCCCAATAAGGAACAACAGTTGCATTAGAACGCATGCCCCGACCCTCCGGTTGATGTAATCTGATGGTCTTCAGCTGGCTAATCGTCTCTCAGGGAGGGGAGAAATCCTCTGGAATGCCTTATCAAAGTGTGCTGTCACGCCTTAGCAGACTGAAATTTCTCTGCAACTTGGTTTCGATAGCTATACGCACGATATGGACAAAACACGGCTACGGGCAGCAGAACGAGGTCCAATATGGTAGCAATGTTTATCGACAGTGGTGATAATCGTGATTCTAAAATCATACAGTAATGATAAAGCATAAAAGGTGACTTACAGCCAGGTGAGCAACCAAATTACAGGGCAGCAGTAACAGTTCGTGACAGCAATGGTAGGAACAAGGTCTATCCGGCAGACAGCTATGCTTAAAGGTAGCGCAGCAGTGAAATTCGAATGGGGAGAGGTTGTGGTACGGTGTGGGAAGCGCTTACAATACACTTTAGTTCCGGAATAAAACGATATAGAAAGAAATTACAATGGTTTGGGGTGAAATGTAGTAAATGCTAGCAAGTTCGGAGGCGATACAAAGAGGCGGTGTTCACCGAAGGTATGCGTATCAGAGATCAGTATTGACAAAGGCACTAAACAGTTAACTTACAGGTGTGTGCGGTGTGGTGGTAACGTGTGTGTCGGCCAGAGGGCGGTATGCGTATCGGGCCCTGTTGGCAACGTTTTCACTC